CTTATTTATGAATAAATGTGTCAAAAAAGAAAGAGATATGGAATAATTACATCACAGGTGTACATTGCGTGGAGTTGATTCAAAATCAATTTACGCTAATGAAGGTTAAATAGCCTTCTTTCGCGGTGAGATAACTAGCAAACAGAACGATGGTGCCAGATGCACAAGTACAACCTTTTCCTCTTCAAATGGTTAATGCATATCGACCGAGAGAAAATGTCGAGAATTATTGGATTATTGCCCTTAATGGATTTCTTGATTACGAGAACTAAGCAAACACGAACAGATAATCTGCTTCATTATTAAATACTTCTGCTTATTTTGCAAGAAAGACTAATACTTCTGTTGTAAAATTTGCAAAGATGTATAAGAAGCAGGCTTTTCTTTAGAAATTTAATTAAATTATTAAGGGTTGTAGAATTTCATGTCATTAAGAGCCGCATGAGAGTGTTCAGAAACTGCTGCTATATATTTACTGAAATTTCAAAATACGAGTAGAAGAGCATTTTTTAAGTAGAAAGTAAACTAACAAGGAAAATATGCGCCTTTTAATTATTGTGGTTATTTATAAATACAAATAAATAATTATTACTATCTTCTTCTGTATTCAGAAAAGTATACTCTTAAAATGCACAAATTTTATAAACCTTTAAAGAATATTCTAAGCACTTGTTTTTTCAGATAGCAAACAAAGTACTTCTTCTGGTTTTCGAATATTTAAGCATTATTTTCAAAACGATGTATAAATACTATCAATGGTTTTCATTAGAATAATAATATAAAAGGCTTTTAATTTGTGTGAAGATTAATGCAGTTTTTAACTTTACAAACATAATTATATACGGTTTATATTAATACAAACGCTTTCCTTTGAAAAGAATGAAACAAATGAACGTAAAGGATCAGAACGCGCTGTAAGGAAATTTATGATCTCAGAAATACTAGTAACTTTTGGAATAACTCGCCTTACAGGAGATGGTCGCCACTAGTAGCTTCATTGCACATTTGTGGTACAACAAGATAAACATTTTAAAGTTTGTTATTATTTTTTTTTAAACCACGGCATAAATAAATAAATAAATGAACTTAGGGCGCAATTAACTTTCCTATACGTAGTGCAATGGAGGGGTGGATGGATAAACATTGGGGTGCACCGGATTAAAAAAAGTATTCTTAATGTAAAGCCAATTCAATTAATATTCCACATAATTTACTTTTAAAGTCTTAGTTCTTTAAGACCCTACAACATACTCCCTGTACCATACTTAGCTATTTCTATAAATATTTGCATTTTTGCTCGCCTCTACGATCCGCTTATTTATGGAATGTCATCTTGGGCATATTTGTATATGTCCATAATCGAAAATCGACGTGCTTTTCCTTTCGAACTTGAGATATGGCGGTCAGAAAAAGGAAGCCTTATTGCAGAGGCCTCATTAACAATAACTTTCAGTGAATGTGGAAACTCTCTCTTTAAAAAGTTTTCCGTTCTATATTTAAGTTCATAGCTTCAAAATTCTGAGCTGATTTTATGCTTAAAATCGGAAGTTCTCGTATCCCTGTCTTATACATGGGCAGTGAAGCAGGAGTACATTTTCTGTTCTCTAATTTTTGAGAATTTTTTAAGCCTTGTAGAACATTAAAACAGATATTTACTAAACGAGGTGAGTTCACCAACCGAGGTCTGAACCGAGTTCTAGTGAACAGTTATAGAACAGCTGGGTGAATCTAAAATGGCGAAGAATTTTGGAATAAAATTAAAAAACGCCGTTCTGAGTTTAGTTGCACTTTCTCGAGTGAAATCTAGACTCTCTGTCTTGACATGCATTGTTTTTTTTATAAATGCAACCGGAGTGCTGTTTGTATATGAAGAATTTGTTCGCGAATTTTTTGTACTTCAGAAAAAAGAATGAATTATTCAGTTGTGGTGATCACGTTGTAGAGACTTTACGTTATTTCGAAGCAGGAGACATGAAAAATGTGCATGCCTTCTCCAGGACTCGAGCTACAGACCTCTCTAATACGCGCCGAGTGTGCTCACCACTACACAACGAAGGCGGGAGAAATATCTTACAACGTGGCCTTTGCTTATTAAGGTTTAATTTTTTTTTTCTGATGATGATATTTCGGACCAGGAAACTGATGCATAACTAATAGAAACTATCGCGAAGAATATCAGATTAAAAGTACAGAATACTTTCCTCGTGAATTGGTAGTATAAACTAGTATTGCGACATTGGAAATCAATTTTCGCACTTAGTCTAAGTGTACTATAACAAGTACTTAAAGCATCTTCCACGCTACTATCTTCTTTCATGTGATTCGCTAAACCCCAAACGCCCTCATAGAGTACTGTAACCTTTCCATGTCACTACATTCTCTTTCAGTATCTTTGTAGCTTGAAGAATTAAAAGACAAGGATGTATTGATGTGGCGCAGCTGGAATATAGGTATTTTATACTGCTTTTTTCAAATGTACCATAATTGTACTAAGAAAAAAAAAACTATTGCACACAAACGAAATTTTTGTTGTTCAAATATTTTTTTTCTTTCCATTAGCTACATTGGAATCTGGAAAATACCAGGCCACTTTATATGTCATAAAAAAAATTTTAATTGATAATTTTAGTTTCATTAAATAGGCATTAGGTTAATAAAACTTTAGAGTGCAAAACTTAAAAAACAAATTTTTGTATTCAAGATGCACTGATGTTTGCATGAGAATAACATTTTATTTCTGAAAATATTTATAATTGATCTGTATTTTTCAAGCATTATGATTTTAATTGCTTTATAATTTTATATGTACTTTAATATATATGCCTTTCAGTTATGTTCTTTGTACTGAAAATTGGAGGGCAAATTTCTTTGATTATTATTATTTTAGCAGTGTTTAGTTAAATTATATTTTTCGGCATATGATTCGTTAGTTATTCATAAGCATTCAATGTAAGTTTGTACATTGTTTGTACATTTACTTTTCATAAACTCCTAAATCGCGTTTTTTGAATGAAATAACTTTTTATACTTAAATAATATATAGTTACGAAAGCTTATGTCATTAACTCAATTTTAAAATTCAAATTTATAGAACTTAATGTACAAATTTTGTCATCAAGCGATTGAATTCAGTTAAAATATAAGAAAGAAAAATGAATAAAAAAATTTAAAAAATAAAAGTAATAAAAAGTAATTTTCGCAAGTACAGTTACAATATTGTTACGAATTTGGTATTTAAAAAGCTAATCTTAGTTCAATTATAAATTATATGGTTTTATTTACCGCGCAGTGCAGCGCGTGACGAATATTAAAAGAAAGCTAAGCCGGAAAATTGAAAATACAAGAGCGCGTGCATTAAACATTAATTAAATATATCTTTTTGATTTCGAGAAAGTACTAGAAAATTCTCGCGCGTGATTTTAAAATCTTATTAAAGGAGGAAAACCTCTCAGTTCGAGTGAGTTACTTAGTTTGTTGTTGTTTAGAAAACTGCTCTTGTTGACTGTAGCGAATTCGCGGATTAGCTTTCTTTAGCTGTTTTGAATTAAGTTCTTTTGAACGTTTGAGTTGTTAGAAGATAACTACTGTGATATATTGTGATACTGCACGATTATTTGAGGACATTAATCATATTTGTTGTGATAATAATAAAATAAATTTTGTTCATTTTTCATCGGACTTGTGCATTCATTTCCTAACGAACCCGTACGCACGCAACAATTTTTTGGGTGCGTGCCCGGGAATCGAACCCGGGTCGCAGAATGGGAATCTTGCATGATACCACTACACCAGCGGCGCACCAAAAATTGTTGCGTGCGTACGGGTTCGTTACAAAATGAATGCACAAGTCCAATGAAAATGAACAAAAATTCTGGTCCACGAATGTGGGCGTGGGTTCGAATCCCCACTTCTGACACCAAAAATAGTTGCGTGCGTACGGGTTCGTTACGAAAGGAATGCACAAGTCCGATGAAAAAGTAACAAAAATTTATTATTATCACAAGAAAAAATGCTTAATATCCTCAAATTATCATGCAGTATCACAATATCTCACAGTAGTTATCTTTAACTACTCAAACGTTCAAGAAGAACTTAATTCAAAACAGCTAAAGAAACGCTAATCCGCGAATTCGCTACAAGTCAACAAGAGCAGTTTTCTAAACAACAACAAACTAAGTAACTCACTCGAACTGAGAGGTTTTCCTCCTTTTTAAGATTTTAAAATCACGCGCTAGAATTTTCCTAGTACTTTCTCGAAATCAAAAAGAGATCTTTATTAAATGTTAAATGCACGCGCTCTTGTATTTTCAATTTTTCTGGCTTAGCTTTCTTTTAATATTCGTCACGCGCTGCACTGCGCGTGAAATAAAAGCATTTAATTTATAATTGAACTAACATTAGCTTTTTAAATGCCAAATTCGTAACAATATTTTTTCTGGTATTTTGATTCAGTGATATGGAAGCTATTAGGTAAAAGTTTCATCAAAAGTTTTAACCACGGAATTATTAACCACGGGAAGTGAAATTATCTTATTAAAACTTGTGTGCAAGTATGAGTAATTTCGTAATTTGCATTTCAGGTTAAAGGTATGAAACTTAATAAGCACACTTAAAAAATTTCAAAAAATTTACTTGTTGTTAGCTATTCAAGTTTTATTTTTGTACTAAATTACTGACTAACTGACATTCGATATTTTGAATGCTACATTTGAAATGTGAGAAGGCTAAAGTGAAAAAAAAGTGAGCAGGTTTCTATAAATGATTTGATGGATATCTATCTACCACATTATTTTGTTTTCTACAATTCCGTAAGACACGAACAATCACAATGCAATTTAAATAATTTCTACACAATGCTTACTGAAAGCAAAATCTAGAAGAAAGGAATTCAGAAGAGGCAAGCAGAAATATGTGTAAATATGAATAAAATCTGCAAGTTTAAAAAATGCGCATTACTGATATTTAGTAAAGGTGAATAAAAATGCCCGAACATAACTTACCTTAAAAGCAGATCGGCAAAGGAAGTTCTCTTTCACGGGCAGCAACCTAATCGAAATCAAAGGAAAAATTAAATAGACTTTTATAAACGTCTCTGCATCGTAAATATAAATGCACTGTAATATAAAATTCATTCGTATAAACACTAATGTCAAAGCAAATATTCACAGACGCATAGATTGAGTGAAATTTTCCAATACGTTTATTCTAAAGTTTCGAAACAGAAAATATTCTAATACATGACATAATAGATCGAAATATGGATCATGCTGAAGCATAAATATTTCCGAAATCGAGCCGTTAAAAAAGAAGACGCCTGTAATTATGCTTTATTTTGCCAATTTATGTCCGTATATAGCAAATCATATTGCCGGCTTATAAAATAAAATTCTAGTTCTATTATAATCAAATTTTATTTTTAAAATTCGTATGTTTAGAGAAAAAAGCAGTCAAAATGCGATTAAAATTGTTAAAAATAGTAGCTTATCAAATATGAATTAAATCTTAATTAAAATCCATCATAAAGTCCTAAACATTAGGATTAATGTATATGCAAAGGGAATTTAATAACATCTATAAATGATAATCAGACATTATTAAAAAATTTAGTTGTATGCCTATTGCTGAAAATTTTGTACAAGTAGTTTGAGAATAATTTAAAACCTATTTTTAAAATTAAACATTATTTTTGTTACACATTATTACTACTGAATTAAAAAAAAAATAAACTCAAAACTACAGCGCTTGTCCGATGAAATGCATTCATGTCCAAACATTAAGCAACAACATGAATAAAGCGGATAAAAATAGTAATATTTGTGGAACTCATTGAAACGTCTACAAAGCAAGTGATACAATAAAGACATCTTTGTAGGAAGAAATTACCAATGAATAATTATATAATAATGATAAACAAAAACATGTGATTTTTTATGGTGAAAAATATTCTGTTTATATCTACAAATGTTACCGCATATGCACCTGTTATTTACGCAGATTTGGATGTCTTGTGAGCCCTTGGTTTATGCCAGGAATAAGATCGCCTGTGGCGGCTTGAAATGTCTATGTCCATGCTTGAAACTGTCATATTCTTTAGCTCGAAAACATTCCAGAGACAAACAGAAAGTAATTAAACATTTTCCATATATATTCTTTACGTGCTCGATGGAATTCAGGTTGGCTCATCTCAATGGCCGTTCCGTACCAAACAGTTTTGATTGTAATATTTTATCGATAAAGTTTTGATTGTAGTATCTTATCGACAAAAGTTTTGATTGTAATATCTTATCGATAAAGCGTGTTCTCAGAGCTCATGCGATACTATCTATAAAAATGGCAATAGCTGCCGTGATCACAAGAAATGGACAAAAATACTGAGCAAGGAAGTGATATCTATATTGCATTGCAGTCACAGTACGCAACTTACAACTCATTGGTGCAGTCTCTGGAGGATAAAATTTAACGCAGTAAAAGGTTGCATTATACTTTTGCGACGTTACAAGAAATTCAATCCGGTAAATACAGAAATTAAAATTAATAAACAAACATTTCCTATCGTTACCTCCAATAAATACCTCGGCTTGATACCAGATCTCTGAGCGGCGCAGGATTTCAGATGTGTCATGAAGACCGGTATTATTATTTGAATTGGTATAATTACTTATTTTAGCTTCTATTTTCATAAACTTACATTCATTAAGATTATATTTATTCCTGTATTAATATACTAATCATCTCAGCAGTAACTGTTTATTTAATCTACCATTACCGCTACTATTTTCATTATCTTTTGGATTCTGGGTAATTTTACTCGTTCCTGTATTGTCTATCAAATGCAATGCATTTGGTGCGCAGAGCGATTTCCTTTTATATTATCCACCACTCGCTAAGAGCACTCAGTCGACCTTGGGTTGAATGCTTGAAACCCCAACAGGTCACAAATCACAAATTTCCATTATTCTGCATCTAAAATGTTCGTCATGACTCTGCCAAAGACCTGTTGGTGCCCCATACCACTTGACCAACATGTGGCCTGCTGGTGCCACAGTTCTGCTTGAAGAGCCTTTTTACGAAAACGGTGGTTGTGGTTGCCCTAAAAAAGTTCCGGAGATACTTGGATATAAGGTGCGGTTCTGGTTCAATGTCCGCAATGTTCTGTAATTCTGATTATTGACAGAACCTTGGAAATCGGTTTCGTCTGTCCGCAAAATTCACCTGGCCACTTCCATCCGAGAAAGAAATTGCAGAGTAAAAGTTTGTCTTATTGGCAGATAAGCAGGAAACAACTACTAAACACGTGTAATTTTGAATGGATAGCACTGCAGGATATTTGTAAAATTTTACGGACCGTGCTGATAGGTGTGGCTAAAGATCGGTCAATTGTACTGTACATTCTCACATCACATCTTGTCTCTTCTTGCAATGCTGTTCTTGTCATATCTTCCACTGGCGAAACAATTGCTTTCTCCCTCTGCCAGATCTCGCTAATCGGTCTCCTTGAATTTACGAATTATCTTCCGTAGACCCTTGACAGACATAGGACCAGAGCGAGGAATGTCACGTCTTTAAATTAGCGTATTATGATAAGTATAGCTCCATCTATTGGTAAAATCTTGTCTTATTATTTTTATATGTCTCAAGACAATTAGCTTCATGTACATTTAGGTGAAATTTCGAGTCATTCTGACCAGTGGTTCCTTTTTTACAGCCTTTTGAATATGAAACTTTATTTATAATCACCCTATAAATATTTAATCACTTAATAGTAGCAATAAGTTATGATTTAAATTTCGATAGGATTGACTAACTAAATTTTAATTGAACTGTACTTTGACTTGAGTTTGATGCTGATAGTTAAGTAGTTGTTAAGAGCTATGACTCGAGAACAGATCAATATAACTCGTTAGACGTTGAGTAGTCCTTTCGAGTTTAAATTTACGTCACAGAAACTTACCTTCGATCGCCGTGGCATTTTCGATGTCCGTGGCTTCATCATGCGAAATTTTTTATTTCGACCACTTGCTACGACAGCTACGTCTTTGCTGGTATTGGAATCATAGAATTTTTAATTCCTAGCACTTGCTATCCATTACTACCGTGACAGCAAGCCCGGGAAAAGGCAATAATTCTTTATGTAGTTACTTAGAAAACAATAAAGCTGTTATGGGGAATAGGAACAGCACATTTAATTTAACAGTAACCATATGTAACAGTAAGCAGGCAACAATTGCGTATATCTCTCTCAGTAAGTAACTCTTTAGCGCGTGTTATCCTATGATGATAAAATCCAATTTTCTCCCTTTTTTAACGTAATTTAAGAAATTCTTTCTGTTCCAGACAGATAGAAAAAACAAAATAGATGAAGAAAGATCTATTCCTCACGTGTGTGGTTCTTTCAACAAAGAATCTTTTCTAGCTGAGTAATTATTATTTACATTTTACTGAAGAGATTCTCAATCTTAAACAGCCTTTCTTGATGCATGGATCATAGAAAGAAGCTCCATCAGCAAACCCATAACTCCCGAAGTAGATCGATTAGAGATAAAAATTTTAAAACATAGCGATCGTTTTACGTAAATGAGATAGCTAATTAACTTCAGGCACGTTAGCGAATAGGAAAACATATATCCAAAGCTTCTACAAAGTTCTAAGGCACTTTTTGTTTGGTATCAAATTTGCAATAAACTTGTCAAATTAGTCAAAGTGTACAGTATTTATTACTATGATATCTCAAATCCTAAAATATTGTTTTACTTACGAACAGTATTTTCCTAAAATATTATTTTACTTACAAAAAATATTTACGCACATACAGTGAAGATTTTCTGTTACGGAACGCTGAGAATCCAAACGCCAGATATTACTCCACATTTTTTCAAAAAAACTGTGATTGCAGTTTGAGCAAAGCGTGATGGAACGTAATACTTTGCTTATAATATTGAGACAAAATGGGCAATCGTTTGCTAAGCTTTCAGAAGATTCGTTACAGCCACCAAAACTTTACTTTTAGAAATCAAATATGAAAATAATAGTGGGGATAATTTTAATTAGAAAGTAACTGCTGGTAAGGAATTTTTCCCGAGGAATCGATAGTTAAAACCATGTTTTACAAAACCGTAATAAGCAGCCTTTGAAGAAAATTTAGCGTGTTACTCTTGAAAAAACTAAATCCAATAACTCCTTCTAAACGGTAAGGCGCCGTAACACAATTTCATTCTTATTAAGGAGTTTCTAGCAAAGTTGAGTGTTACAGTTTTCAACTTCCCACGCCACTCCGATTCACCAGATTTCAGAAATTACAAACCACTTGTTTTTTTTTCCCCCAAAACAAGGTTCCTTTAATGACATTCGTTATTTTAATAGCCCTGAAAAGATTCATAAAAGCTGTAAAAAGTGTTCCAAAATACGAGTTTTCGAAATTTTATTCTCAAGCGGTGCATTTTTCACAAATTTTATGTATTTTATTTTATTGAGAAATACATAAAATTTGTGAGAAATTAATAGTTTATAAATAATAATTATTATAATTAAAATAGTTCATAAATGGATACTCGGGTATTAGCCGGCACCCGTCCATATACCACCAACAATTCAATATATAACCTGTAAGAGATGTGGCAACCGTAGAAGCTGCACCACAATTTCTAGAAAGATAGAATTTTCTATTTTTTCTTTATTTTATTTCTTTGCTGATTTTCTGGAGGAGAATAGCTTCTGTTTGATTGTAAGCCTTAGACTACTTTTCTCATTTAACATTAATTTTTACTGTATTCTGAGTCATACGTTTATTAGACTTGCTGAGAGGTAGAGCAGAATAAATCCATTAAATCCAAGCGTATGGTATTTTACCCAAAAATTCAGGATTATTAATGGAATCATTGCAGACTTCTGAATTCTCAAGCTTAAAAATCTAGTGTGGACACCCCATGACTTCCTTGTACGGCCTATTACATTATACACATCCAGTGTTTGAATGTAATGAACTATTGTATAATGTTATATCAATGGTTGTTTGATTTGGATCTTTGTAAATAATGTAAATAGTACTT